AATGCTAGAAGTATAAGAAATAAAACAGATGACTTTAGAGCACTAGTAGGAATGAAAGAATTTGATATAATGGAAATAACTAAAACATGGATAAATGTAGATGACTTTGATGACAGAAATTTCTTTGAAATATAGGGTTATAGGTTACTTAATAGGAATAGAGCAGGGTTCGATTTTAAGGAAGTTTCAGGTTATCAGGGAAGCTATATTAGTTGTCTGAAAAAAAAATACAGAGACCCCTTAAAAATATCCAATTACAGTAATATTGATATACAATGACCCAATTACAAGAATTTTGATGTTTTTATATCTTATTTATTTCCAAAAAGTGCAATTAATGTTTAGTTGGTAATTTTGCATCTTTATTCAAATAATTTTTGATGCTTTATATCCTGGGAAGTTTTGTTATATTGAATAAAATAAGCTCAAACCATGCTAATGTTGCATAGTATCTTAAGGAAACAAACAGTCAATACCCTGTAAAACTTTTAAACTGAACAGCGATCTTGGCCAATCACATTCAAGGTTTACATTCTAACCAGCTTGGCCTGCCCTTAAAGCAGAAGCATTTACAATTTGAAAACACAGAAACAAAACTTTAAAACCATTTAAAATTAGTTTTTTAGCCACTGAATTTGTAGAAACAAAACCATACAATAAACTTTGTGGTGCATATTACATAATGCATAAACCAGTATATAGATATGTCTGCCCAAATCGAACCGATAGCATGTCAAAAAATAATGAAGGGGAGTGTAAACAGACTATGCATTAGCCTGGCAACAAGTTGCTTTATGTTACACCATCAGGCGTAAACAGACAATATGTTGTCCTAACAACAGTTTGCTATACATCACATTGTTGAGTGTGGTTAGAGCAAAAGAACATGTGCTACAATAGTCTATGATAAAAGTGGTATCAACAATGTATCAATTACATCATAACATGACTCAGAACAGGTGGAGGTTACTACTGGTACGTATCTGTCAATCATGGTATTTCAAGTTTACAACCAATGATTACAAAATCTCTCCTATACTTTCATAGGTACACATTAAGCCTATACTTCATTTTTAGTATTTGTTTGTTGACACTTTTTATTTCATTTATCCATATAATATGAATCCATGTGTATGAGTTTGAAATTGAGGGACTTTATTGGGACTACATTTTATCTTGACATAGGTGTCACACTGTATCAGGTTACCAAGTAAAGCAATAATTTGATATCAGTCACTGACACTTTGTTAACACTGTTCCAATGGGAAGATTACATGGAGGAAAAGGTTAATTTACAGGTACAATCTTTAATTGTTTTTCATTAATTAACTACACAATTGAACTTGCAGTGTAAATCTACTAATTTGTGACTGTGGAATCCAATGGTGTGTGAATTGTTTTGTTACTTTCATTTTTTACAAATCACTGAAACCCCCCTACTTGTGTGTTATCATAACTTGAATTATAAATATAATTTGGATGAGAATAACCTTAACAGTGTTATAAGAGAAAGGGATCTTGGTGCAATGGTTGAACAGTCTCTTAAGCCATCCAAACAGTGTGCTATTGCTAATGGTAAGGCAATTGGATTTTTAGATTGTATCTACAGAAATATTGAATACAAGTCTAAAGAAGTTATAATTTCATTGTATAGGTCACAGGTTAGGCGACATTTGGAGTATTGTGTTCAGTCTTGGGCTCCTTAGGAAGGACATTGAATTGTTAGAAATGGTTCAGAGGAGGGTTACTAGAATAGTGCCTGGAATGGAGGGTTTGTCATATGAGGAGATATTAAGATCTTTGAAACTGTTTTCTCTTGAAAGAAGAAGAGTTGGAGGGAGATCTGATTGAGGAGTTTAAGATTGTAAAGGGAACTGATAGTGTTGATGTATCATCTTTTTTCATATTTAACAATGATAACAGTAGGACTAGGGGACACAGATAAATTTGGCAAGGTAGGAGTCTTCTTCAGTTAAAACAGTTTTATTTTTCTAACAGGATGGTTGGCCTCTGGAATTCGTTGTCTTCAGATGTTGTGGAAGCAATAAATTTAAGTAAGTTTATGAAAAAGCTTGATAACTATATGAAAGATAAGAGCTGGCTTTTAAGATTTTTTATCTATAATAGGTGAGTTAAGAGGATGGGACAGCTGAGATGTACCTACAGGTCCTTTATTGTACCTAAACATTATGTTAAAATTAAACTTTAATGCTTGTAGAAGACATACTAGGCTCCAGTTACAAAAGTCTTATTTTACTAACAGAGTGACTGGCTTATGGAATTAGTTGTCATCAGCAGTAATAACGACCAACACTTTACAAGAGTAACTTTAGAGAGGAATTGGCAGTTTTCTGAAAAATAAAGGATATGGTTAAATTTTACTTTTTTTTTAATTGAAGGACCAAGTGGTCTCTTGTTGTCAGTATGTAATGTCATTCACAGACAGATGAACTTCTTAAGTAAATCTCTCATACATTACCACTTAGTCTTACAAATTACAATGAGATTGCATCCATTTTCTTACACTTAGTTTGTGACCGTTCTTTACAACATCTGAAATCTGAGAAATACTTTGCATGCAGACTGTTAATCAAAAGATATAGGCCTCTTCCAAAACATACTATTGCCAATCCCCTGGCAATGGCATCAGACATGGCTGTGTGCCGATGATACTTGCTTCGATAACATTAACATAATAACAACAATAACATGGTTCTTTTTTTTTCTTTTTTCGTCGATTTGATCTCTTAATCTTATAATTTAAGATGTTAAGTCCTGTGCCTAGGGCTCAATAAATCTCTTCTCTCTAAATATTATTATTAATATTACTCATTATTATTTAATTTGTTACGTCAACAACTGGGAAAGTACGTAATTGGCTTAGCGTAAGTATAATTATCTGCCTATGTTTAATTTTAATACTATAAATTATAATTTACAATATAGTGAATTATTAATATTGGTTAATCATTAGTAATGTCATTGAATGACATACTGTTTTTAAAAACTTAAAAATAAAACATGCTATCGTTACATTTTTGGAGTTCCTCCTTCTGTCTCCAGTTGTCGTATTTAACAGCATAATTATTGTTAATTTTAAGTTCGTCATCCGACTCCGATGAATTTTCGTCGGCAAAAAGTGACATTGTAAAAATCAGTTAAATACAACTTAAAGTTAAAACTATAGGCATATATAACTGATATTTTGCATTAATGTACAAGCCCCTTCATAACGTGGTTGTCAAAAGCGTCCTCTCTCGACCGTTTATAAATTAAGGAAATATTTTATGTTTATATCACATATAAAGACTTCGAGGTAATTACTCACCGAATATACACCTCAAGTTTTTTCGGACCAATGACCTTTCTTCTACTTTTAAAACTGCATACAAAGAAATCTTCTCAGTTTTCTTTGTTATAGTTTATGAACCTTATCGTTTGTAAAACTAATCATATTATTGTATATTCATCAACTGATTGGGGTTATTTTCAAAACAGGAAAAAGAAGATAATATACAAATAAGACAAAAAAGCATTAAATACATAGACATAGGAAACAATAAAATGTTAGTAGGGCTACAATCATAAGTGTTTCTGTGTGTGGTGGGGTGGGAAGTTTCTTGATGGTGGTACTGATAAATTCAAATACGCGTGTGCATAAAAAGTCTAAATTTTAGTCAGGTTACACATGACTATCGATCCTGTAATACAATCATCGTTCAGGGGTTACTTGATAAATTTTAATTTTATCATGTGATAAATTTGAATAGGTAATAAAAGTATTTATATTTTTTCTTTAAAAGATAAAAAAAATGCCAATACGGAATTCTCTAAATTTCAGATGTAAAATCATAATATATTTCGTTGTTTAAAATGAACGACTAGCTCCAAAGTAAAATAGCCTATAGAAAATTTGCATTTACTAGTCCTGAAACTCAATTATATCCGAGATTTTTGTTTGTTTAAAAAAAAGAGATAAACTAAAAACGTGATTGTTTTTGGATGAAAAAGAAAGTTAAATTACTATAATATGTATAAAATTATCACAGACGCTAGGAAGATAGCACTCGATTACAGACTTAGTGAAAAATAAATAGTTAATATTTTGCTAAAATTTATAAATATTAAGAAAAGAAGCACGCCACGACCTTCCACTTTTAAGTTTAAGGAATTATCTGATTTTCTTAAGTTCTTGCTAATTGACTAGCCTTTTGTGGATAAATAGACTGTAGTCTTTCTTCCCTGAAAAAAGTCAGTAGCATGGCACATTTCACCACTTTATACGCTTTTCCATAATTATAATGGCAGAGAATGCTTCTTAATTTATCATTTGCTAAAACAAATAAAACTCATGCCTTTATTAATCCTTCTCATCAAACTAAAAAATTATTTTAGAAAGCCATGAAAATCGCTATTACAAACATTTTATACATATACTTATGCACATGAGAATGTACTATAAGTTTAATAATGCTTGGAGACGGCTTGAATGGGTAATGAAGAAAAACTTTAATATACGTTTAACATAACAGCAAATGTATGTTTCGACAAGGTTTTGGCATCATCAGTTTGTAATGGCTTCAGTGACACTTACAACTAAACCGAAAAATAGCTTTATTTGACCGCACAAGTACAAATAATAATATAAATGTACAAACATAGGGGGAAAAAAAAGGATTTAAAGTAAGTGTTGAAAAGTTTTCACTAGATGGCGGTTTACAAAGTATAATCTTTGTTTATATGGTAACTGCCAAATATCTCATTAGTAGACCTATTTGATGAACCTGAAAAATGCTAGATGATATCTAGCAACTGTTCTAAAAACAGAAATAATTGTCTGTTTGGAATTAAGCACAAAGCTACACAATGGACTATCTGTGATCTGCATCCCAAGGGTATAGAAACCCGGATTCTAGCGTTGTAAGTCTGCAGACATACCGCTGTGCCACTGGGGGCAAAAAGAAGAAAAAGAGACAGAGAGAAAAAAGGATGGGTCAGTGTTTTTTGTTGCTCTGGGTGTTGTTGCGTTATTTGAATACACTGTAATTATAAAGTTGATCGTTTTTAATTAATTTTTAAATAAACTATGATTAAGTTGAGTATTATTTACTGAATTTATTCTACAAAATCTACACATATTGTGTATATATATAGAGTACTTCCTGTGACTAAATATTTTTCTAGAGACTTTTGGGTTAATAGATAATAATTAAAAATCTGATTTCAAACATTGAATTTAGGTTAGCCCTCGAAACACCAAACTTTCGGGGTAGAAAAATAGGGGGAGACTAAATTCTGAAAAAATTGCGGCATCACTATCTTGTTGATTCTAAAGGTGATACAGAATTTTTTGAATTCTCAAATTCCATAAGCCTTCCTCACTTTTTTATTGTTCCAAAGTATTATTGGGCGTCGTTGCTTGTAAAAAAGGCACTTTCAGACTTTTTTAGGAAGATATGGCTAGTTATTTGCAGAACAACGAAGAAAATCAGAGCCAGGGAAAATTTGTACAAACATCAGTTGCTTAATGATAACTAGAGATTAAAATTGTAAGACTGCTAAAATTCTCATAACTGATACATTAAATATTGGGTTAATTTTAATAGGAAATATTGTTTGCGTCCGAGATATGGATGATAAGCTTGATCGTGACCTTGGCCTTTGAACAATATATATATATATATATGTATGTATATATATATATATATCTTGCATTTGAAATTCCTTATAGTCGCGTTCGTAAAAAATGAGTTCACACACTTTTTACTATATGTATTTTATTTCAGGATACAACAAAATATAGAAAGGGATTTCCCTATGACTTAGGCCTAATTCCATCAATGCGGTTGATATAACAGATTTTGGTGATATATTTTGTTTCGTAATAAAACAGCACCAACCAGTAAATAGAGCCAGTGCTACGACGACCTTGAAGTTCTGCGTCTTATAAAAAGAATTAAGAAGTAAAACATTTGAAATCGTTATACTCTTGCTGTCTGAACCGCTTACACGGATAACGTTCAAGGCAAAAGTTGAGTTTGCGGAACAAAAAATTATTCGACAAAAAAAACCTAATCTATTTCTCTATATTTCAACCTTTACACAGCTAACAAGAGTTAAACAACTGTTGTTGTTTCTGCTTGTTTGTTTGTTTTTTCAGTCGTTCAAACCGTAATATTTACTTCGGAACTGTTTGTTTCGCAGTTAAGTACAAAGCTACACAAAGGGCTATCTGTGCTTTTCCCACCACGGGTATCGAAACCCGGTTTCTAGTGGTATGAGCCCGCAGACATGCCGCTGTGCCACTGGGGGGCATTTACTTCGAAAAAACTATGTGCATGCAGCTCTGTAAAAAATGAAATGGACTCTTGCAGTAATATGAATTATATTTTCAGCGACATCTTATCTTATAGAGGTTTGTGTAATTATTTAAAACAAATCAAAAAACGACACTTTGAGTTATCTATTAACAACTGAAGATATAACCTGCAGTAGTAAAGGCTCTACACGAGGCTACGTTAATTCTGTGGAAGGAACAATTCTTTTATGGTAGTCGTGGGATTCAAACCCACATCTTTGAACAGACTGGCGCCTTAAACCAGCAATAAGACTACTTGTCATCCTACTTGGTCGTAAAATAAAATCCTAGAAGTAAGGAATTATATTATAAGAACGTATGATATTATTCTGGTTTCATCGGTTATAGTATTGTTACGTCTCCGTTCGTTAGTTAATTTTCCGTAAATTCGTTCCGACGAAACTTTAGCGACACAAGTCGTTTCTTAAATAAAACTGGTTTATTCTTTCTGAATATAACTTTGCGATACACTTAATTTCAACAGTCGCGCTTTAACAAACGCTATAATTCTCAACGAACGTCTCACGTGCTCGACTTCAACAATACTCAGTTCAATTACACACACTGTGACTGCAGTTCAAT